CTGCCTGCCTGCAGGCTCCGCGCTGGCGGGAGCTCCCTCGCGGCCAGCGCGCTCAGCGACCCTGGGGACCGAGGCCCGCTGGAGACCCAGCGCACCCCTGTTCCGCACTGGCCTGCCTCTCAGGGCCGCGAAGTCTTCTAAGAACCTAAGTCTTGTCGTTTTTTCTCCCAGGGTTGAGCGACAAATCAAGCCACACCGACCGGGTTCAATCCCGATTCCACACTCGCTAAGGTGGACGAACGTGACTTTGAGAAGTCTCCTCATTGGCGAGGCTGAAAAACGCCACCCTCCCAGGCCTGTAAGAATGTGTAGAGATGGATGAGAAGCACACAGTAGGTGCTCAGCAAAGCACTGCTTTTCGTGCCACCGAATAGCACGAGGAGCCCCTGTGGAACAATGGCTGGAGCTCAGCGGTTAACAGAAAGGTGGGCAGTTCTGCGGGAGAACTGGCTGCTCTGCGGGAGAAAGATGCGGCAGTCGCTTCTGGGAGGACGGAGGTCTTGGAAGTCACAGGGTCCCATGTCGCTCTGAGCTATGGGAACAGGGCACAGCATGTGTAGCTTGACCACTACACCCGAGAGGAAGAAAACAGACTTCGACGACACAGAGCTGGAGGAGGAAGTTGCCCAGGGCACCTTTCCAGGTCAGCCCAACTTGGCACTTGACTAGCCGGCTCCTTGTTGTCTGGGCACAGGCTCCCAAAAGGCACTGTGAGCCCTGCCCACTCTGGACCAGAAGGGCCCTGAAGACTGTTTCTTAAGTGCATGAGCGTGAGCTCTGAGGTGGATCCAACCTCAGGGTCACAGTGGTGGGACTCCAGACTGCTGCTTCCATTTCTGCAGGCTCAGTGCTCGAGGGCCCCACTGTGCAGGGCAGGGCTTCCTAGGTGGGGGCCATGCCTCAGCTCCCAAAGAGCTGGTAGCTCAGGAGGGCCTGGGTTAGGGATAGGGGTCCCACCCCTGGTGGCAGCATGGACTTGAGGCACACTTACCACAGTGGGGAGAGAAGGGCCACCTCCAGTCCCTGTGGGGCCCCACCCAAGGGACTCTGCCATCAAGTCCCTTCCCGGCAGCCTCTTCCTGCTGGGCCGGGCTGGGCCAGCCACTCACTGTGCTGTGAAGCCTGATGGTGGTTGTGGGACCCAGACAGCCCTCAACATCCTGGTGGGTAGAGCTGGGCAGTAATCAGGACTGCCAGCACAGAAGGGCAGAGGCATCAGCCCCAACCCCCTGAACCTCCATGACATTGGTAAAGCTGCTCCCACCCCACTTCTCCTAGGGCTTGGCAAACTTGGGAGCTGGCTATGCCTACATGCAGCCACGCCGGACCTGAGATTCAGCCACACAGCAGGGTCACTCTGGTCCTGCCTGGCCCCCACACTGCCAAACTGGGAGCCTCCTGGCTGGGGGTTCCTTGTATTCCCGGCTCTCTCGGCCCTGGGCCTGGTGTGGGCTTTGTGTCAGGGACCCTTGACCAGACCTCCGACCAGGACCCAGAGCTCAAAGGAGGGAGAAACTGGGGTGGAAACTTGGAACGTTTATTAAATATTCATTCGTTCATTTGCCACCACTATCCATAGCAGGAAAAGAAAATGACCAAAGTGGAATAAAAAACAGAAAACCCAAATAACAACAAACCGAACCCACTCCCCAGCAGTCTATGCACAAGGCCCCTTGCCTCTGCCAGAGAGAGGTTGGGGGTCGGCTGGGGAGTGGTGGGGGCTGAGCACCCCCCTTCTCCAGCCACAGGCCCCTGAGGAATTCTGAGAAAGTCCCTGTTGCCAAGTGGCTAGGGAGATGGTTATTGCTAGGCAGGGGAGGGGTCCGGAAACTCCTGTGTGGCAGGCCCAGGCCTGCTCTGTGCCTGGACTGGACCAAAAGGCTGTCTGCCCTTGCCCACGGTGGGCAGTGGCCAGTCCCCATGGTGCCCAGTCTCCCCCTCCGGGAGGAGAGAGGGCTGAGGGCAGGCAGGGTGTTCTCTAGAGGCAGGAGAGGCGCCCGCTGACCCTCAGGGGAGGACGCCTGGCGCAGGCTGGCCTCCTCAGTTTCCAAGGAAGACGTGCTCCCTTGATCCCGACTGCTTGGCTCTCCTCTTGGGCAGGGCCCTGCCCCCGTCACTCAGGCCATGTTCCTGCTGCCGTCTGGCCAGAGCCTTGTGCGGCCGCTTTCCACGTCTGCCACCGCCTCGGCCCTCGGAGGCCAGGACGCCTGTGCGGCACAGCAGCTCCTCCAGCATGGCGTCAGAGCCAGCTCTGTGGGCTCAGCAGCCGCTCTCCGACGCTGCCGTCTCCAGGGTCACGGCCCCTTGCTGCATGGCAGCGGTGGCCACGCTGATGGCCTCTTCTAAGGTCTGCTGCTCCTCCAGCTGCGGAGCAGGGGGAGACGGTGAGACCCTTCCTCCTAGCTTCCCCTTGGGTGGGTACAGTGTGTGAAGCTCACTTTTTCCGATCTCCTCCACCCACCCTGTGGCACGCGCTGGCCACTCGACAGTCCACTCAAAGTCCACTGACGGAGCCCTAGTAGGGTAGGCATGTTAACCCTACTCGTCTAGGAGCCCAGGTGGCAGCATTGTGGCTCCCAGTTGGGCTGCACCCTGCAAGGTCACCAGTTCAAAACCACCAGGCGCCGCTCTGGAGAAAGATGGAGCTTTCTAGTCCCGTAAAGAGTTAACAGTCCTGGAATCACACGGGGGCATTTCTACCCTGTCCTATGGGGTCGGTGTGAGTCAAACTGACTGGAGAGCAGTGAGTTTTTGAGTGAGTCTACCCGACTTGTCTGGACCAGGAGAGAGCAGCTCAGTGAGTGTGGCTGGCTAGAGGCGAGCCATCTCCTTCCACTAGAAATAGAAGCATCAGGAGACGGAGGTGCTGCGCCACCAGACGGATGGCCCTCCAAGCTCTCATGAAGGGACTTCACAGCACATGGGCAGAAAAGGGGTTTGTCCTCTGAAATGGCCACGTCATTCTCTTCAAGGCTCTCTTCTAAGTTCCCTCCCTTGTTCCCCAGCACAGCAGCCCCTGAGCTCCCAGACCTGTACACACCTGCACAGCAATGTGCGTCCCATTGGCTGTAGCCAACAGCGCCACCTGCTGGTGATGAAGGGATGCCACACTGGGGTCTTCAGCCACCACTGCTCCAGAGGTAATAATCGTGACCTGGAAGACAAACCGTGCCCAGCTAAACTAATCACTGCAGGCCCCCCCGCCCCGGGCCCCCCCACTCCCCACCCACCCACCAGAAACGCCCTCAAGCAGGGTGGCTGGGAAAACGCAAAAGGGAAGAGGGAGAACCATTATGGGTCAGACTAATCTGCCTGGGTGTTTCTTCAATTTGGAGCTCCACTTAGTTCAAGGACTGAATCCTAGAAGGCCAGAGTTGTAAAGGGCACCCGGAAGGACTTAATCTCTTAATTATAAACCGGCCTGCAGTCCAAGGTAAGTGAGAGTGAGTTGGGCAGGCAGCGCTGTCTTTAAGGACGAGTGTGAAGGCCCTAAGCAGCTGGGGGAGGAGCTCCGTGGGTCGGAAACTTGTAAGGAGTGGCCAGCTTGGCCTGGTCTGTAACGCCCACCCGGTGAACAAAACCACAAGCAAACCGCCTGGTCGTACGGGCTGTGTCTGGGTGCCATCTGCGCTGACCATGGTGACCGTATGTGTGCCAGGTGTGACAAGTTCGTTGTCATGACTGGGGATGGTGAGGGTGGTGCCTCCATGCTGGGTCACCATACTGATGGCACTCCCCAGGGCCTGCAGATCTTCAGGGGACAGGCTGACCTGGTGGCAGAGGGGAGGGGAGAAGGTAAGGCGGAGGCCCTGGAGCTGGGCTGGTGTAAGCCCCGAGTGAGGGCCTATCTGCTCTCCCAGGCCAGACGAGTGTTGGTGACTCTGAAGTCAGCATCAAGTCCCCGAGGTGGACGACAGAACACTGCCCACGGCTTCTCCCGTCCTCCCTTGGCTGCTGAGTTCCATTTCTATGCACTTCCACGTCTCTCCCTAATTGCACCCCCATGACAGCTTCAACAGGTATGGATGGGGCGTCTGCCAGGGCAGGCGCTGACTGGGATGGGTGGGGGGGGCGCACGGACCCTGGGGGGACTGGGCCTTAGACTCCAGACCTATGCTCAGTGCATCCACAGAAACCCTCTCTGGTGAAGGGCATGGAGCACCTCACTGACACAAGCAGGCCGATCGCAGCCACCAGTCACGGGCAATCAACTAACTCGCAGACGGAGGCGTTGGCGGCACAAGGAAGCCGAGGAGCCAAGGGACAAACATCAGCTCTCTGAGGTTCATGTGGCTCGACAGAAAAGTGGAGCAGAGGTGGCTCCATCAGATATCAGGGCTCTCCAGGGGTCCCAGAGAGGATGGGAGAGGGGTCAACCGGGGCCCACCCTGATCCATGGGTTCCCAAGGCCTATACCTGCTGGGCACCATCCTGAGTGATCAGGGCCACCTGGGGGGCTCCATCCTCCTCCGTCACCATGGCCACCTGGGCCGAGATGTCATCGCCTTCTTCCTTTACCTCAGAGAGGTATGCGACGGGGGGCTGTTTGGGCAGTGCGCTCTCCTCAGCTGCAGAGGCGGCTGGGAGAGGAAGGCTGGGCTGACACCTGGCACTGGATGGCCAGAGGGAGGCCTGGCTGTGCCCACCCTGGCCCTGGCCCTGGCCCGCTCCCCTCACCGCCGAGCTGCTGCTGCTCGTAAAGCGCCTGCTCACTCTCCTCCGTGGCCTCCAGCTCGCCGTGGGCGCTGCGCTTGTGCATGGCCAGCGTGGATGTCTGCCGGTAGGTCTTGCCGCAGGTGCTGCAGGTGTAGGGCTTGCAGTGTGTGTGCACCACGTGGTGCTTGTACAGGCTTGAGTACTCCGTGAAGCGCTTCCCACAGCCTGGCACCGTGCAAACATATGGCTTCTCCCCTGGGGACACTGGGCTGTGAGGGGGGCGGGAACTGGGGCTGGCAAGGGGGAGACTATGGGGACAGGGGTGGGGCTGGAGGGAGAGGGAGAGGACTATGGGCAGAGTTGGGGGAAGATGGCTGGCGGAACAGGATTTGGGTATAGAACCCCCGAGCCCACAGGCAAGGAGACCGGTGGGCCCAGGGTAAGGCTGAAGGCAGGGCAGTAGCAGGTGGGGAGGGAAGTGGTGAGACAAGGCAGGGGCAGGGGCAGGGGCAGGGGAAGGGGCAGGGAGGGAGGCCTGTGAGAGTGAGGAGAGCAGAGGGTGGGAGGAGGGCCGGAACAGTGGGAGGACCCCCAGGACATCAGCCGGCCAGGAGAAGGGGGCGTTTCACCCTGCTGTTCAGCAGGAGGAGAACTGGGAGTGTACATAGAGGGGGCAGGGAGTGGTGGGGCTCCAGAGAGGGCTGGCGACATCTGTTAGGCTGGAGCTAACTGCAGGGAGGAGCTCCCCGCTGCAAAGCACACACGGTTCTGGGGCAACTGCAGGAAGCAGTGACCCTCGGCCTCGGGCCAGAGGCGTCGTGAGGCTAGGGCCTGGCAATGGGACTCGGATCGGAGCCTGGCAGAGGGGCCTGGGCCTCAGAGGTGGTCCTTGCATGCCGACTGGCCCACCTGTGTGGATGCGCACGTGGTTCTTGTAGTTGGTGGCACTGGTGAAACCTCGGCCACAGTGGGGCTCAGGGCAGGTGTAGGGCCGCTCGCCTGTGTGCGTGCGCACGTGCACCTTGCGGATGTTCGAGGTGGTGAAGGAGCGACCGCAGCCCTCAAAGGGGCACCGGAAAGGGCGTTCACCTGTGGGCGAGGCGGTGTGAGAGTGGCCAGCAGGGAGGCCTGATAGGGGGAGGCGGGGGGCAGGCGGCACTGGGCTGCAGTCTGAGGGGCCCACCGGTGTGTGTGCGCACGTGCTTCTGCAGGTCGCCCGAGGTCTTGAAGGCCTTGCTGCACAGCTCCTCGGGGCACTTGTATGGCTTCTCACCAGTGTGGGTGCGCACGTGGCTCTTCAGCCCATACCCTGTGGTCGGGAGGATGGGGGAAGGGTGAGCAGGGCACCCAGTGAGGCCTCACCCAGAGCTGTCCCATCAGGTCCCGGGGCTCCTTTATGAGACTTCCACTAGGTCCATCTCCCCCTCCCCAAGCCTGGGAAAACCCGCTGTGCCCGCCTCCCTCTGCAGGGGCAGCTGGAGCCGCTGCTGGCCAGACGCCTGAGAGGGGACCCAGAGAGGTGGGAGCTAAAGGTCCCTGTTTTCACAGGAGAACCCCAAAGCCCAGTCCCCCCTTAGCACCCCCAGCCCCTCCACCCCCACACCTTGCTGGCCAGTGTCAGAGCTACTGTGAGTGGCAAGGCCTCTGCACAGCCCCCAGGGGACCTCTGCTACCCTGGGCCACGCTGCCACCTGATGCGGCCACAGGGGTGCCTCAGAGAGGAGCCAGCGCCCTGGAGACGGCACTCCCCAGGAAGCCAGCCTGGTGCTGGGCTTCCGTCAGGGAGGCTCCACAGCTGGTCTGAAGCCTCTGCCCCTCACAGAGGCAGTCCGCCTTCCGCCTCCACCCGGCCAGGTTACCTGTGGCAAAGGCCTTCCCACAGCTGGGGAAGTCACACCTGTAGGGACGGTCCCCAGTATGAGCGCGTTCATGCACCTGTGAGGACAAGCAGGCCAGGGTTCAGAGGGGCTTGCTGGTGGTCTTCAGCACCCAGAGTGCCGGCCTGCAGGGACTGGCCACCTTCTCCTGAGAGCCCTTCCCCTCCGGCGGCTCACAGGGCTGGGGCTGACGTCTCTGTACGCTCACGTCTCCCTGCCCACTTTTTGGTGCAAAGCATGTGAAGCGTGTGTGAATGTGTACATGTGCATGTCTGTGTGTGGGGAGGGGGTGGGAGGAGGTGGCAGAGCTGGCAGCTGTTTCTGGCAACCTTACCTTTAAGTGGTGAGCAGTGGTGTAGAGGCGTCCACAGCCCTTGTAGCCGCAACGGAATGCTCGGTCCCCCACCTGCTGCCCTTTGCCATTGTGGGGGACCTGGCTGTCGTGCAGAACCTGAGGGAAACACCTTGGCATCTCACACGCATTCATCTCAGTGAAGGGGGTGGGGGTGGGGGCACACGGCCCAGGTGGCAGATTCCCAAACCAAGACCTCACTGCCCCGCCCCCACCAGTCCATTCCCACTCACAGTGCCCCTACAGGGCAGGGTAGAACCGCCCTGGGGGTTCTGAGACTGGGACTCCTTATGGGACCTGCTCCACCACCAGCGCTCTGAGAGCCAATCAGCAGGGACTCGTAAAAGCCTGTATCATGATGGATGCAGGGAGGATGACTAAGTGTCACGGGGCTGTGACGGCTGCTGACTACTTCCTCAGCCAGCCAGGTCAGGGATGGAGCGGGTGTCTGGGCGGGTGCCGCTACCTCCCCAGCTGACCACACTCTGAGGAGGCTGCAGCTCTGGGGGCTTCCCTCCTCACCTGGGAGGGGCTTGCTGCCTCTCCCCAGAAACACGTGTCCACAGGGGCTTGCTGTGGGGCTTAGCTCGGCTAGGACCCCTCAGCAGGGCACAGCCCTCAGGAGGCGGCACCCATGTCAGCAAACTGTAGCACCACACTGGCCCGGGCAGGCGCTGCAGCCCCCACCACTACCACAGCAGCAGGCTCACATTTCCTTCCCTTGCTAGAGGCACCCATTCCACACCGTCTCTGGCCACAGTGAGCCCTCTGGTCTTCCCTGGCAGGGACGTGGTGCCCCCCTCCCCTCAGTCTGTTTCGGGGTTGGACTTCCAGGAACTCCTGAAGTAGAACTTGGGAAAGTTCGGTGAGCAGGGGACAAAAGGGTGAGGCCAAAGACAGGGACTGTCTAGCCAGGCTCCAGGTCAGGGGATCAAGAGCTGACAACACTTCCTGGACTCTTCAGAATCGGGTGGGGCAGAGGGGAAGGGCTGCAGGTGGCCAGACAGTCCTGTGTCTCAGGAGCTCTGGGGGTGGTGGAGGGAACTGAATCACATCAGGGCTGGAAGTGAGTGCCGAGGTGTCTGGCCAATCTCATGGCAGTGGAGTGGAAGAGGGTGAGGCGGGGCGGGCTGTGCCCACAGAGCCAGACCAAGTGGCAGAGCCAGCACAGCCCCATGGTGACACACAACTCAAGCGCCCTTCCCTCAGCAGCAAGTCTCCAGACACCCTCTGGGGGACGGGAGGGTAGTAAGCAGTGCTCCAAGAGGCCTGTGGTAAAGTTTTGTGCTGCACTTTGAAAGTACACTTGTTATGTTGATGTCCTGTGTTCACTACGGTTTTTAAAAACATCCAGCTCTCTGCTTTGGGCAAAATCAGTGCTCTGGGGAGCTGGGGGTGGGGTGGGGGTGGGGGAGGTGGGATCACCCGTTTGGAAAAGCTCATCAATCCCTGCCTGTCTCCACCATGGGCAGGGTGGCAGCGTGCCAGAGCGCCAGCCGCTTGGGAGAGCCGGAGCCTTCTCCTTTCTGGCCGGGCTGCCATGCTGGTCTCCTGATGCAAGCCCCGCCCCCCGCGCCCCCCATGCTTGGTCGCACTGACCCCGCCATCGCCCACGGAGGATACTTCCCCACACGACCGCGGGCCAAGTCACAGAGAAGCGAGAGCACCGGCCCTCACTGGCACCGGCTGTGGCAGACAGCACGGAGGCTTGTTCTGGAAGTCGAGCAAAGCTGGGCCTAAACCCCCACCACCCAGAAGCCCTGTGCTTTGCTGCTGCTGCAGGGGCAGCGTCAACCTGGGGAGTGCAAGCAGCTGTGGCACATGCTGGACGTGAGGGGTGAGGGGTGGGCGGGCAGGGCCAGCCCTGTCTAAGCCTTCAGAGAAAGGGGCAGGGACAAGAGGCAGCGGTGGGCATACAGAGCTGTATGAGGGGTGAAGGGCACCAGACTCCGGGTGCTCACCTTGCTGGCATACTGCTCCAGGGCCACCACGGTGTCTGTGCTGAAGCCCTCGTCATCCTCTGCGGTCAGGTCCCCCAGACCCACCTCTGCCTGCACAGCCAGGATGGTGCCATCCGCAGGCACCACGGGGTGGTGGATGTAGGCGGTGGAGCCGTCCTCCAGCAGAACAGCTTCCAGGGCGTTGGGGTCATAGCCCTCTGCAGGGAAGTCACGGTCAGCCCAGGGTCCGGTGCGAAGTTAACCGCAGCACCTGCACCCCGGCAGGTTTTCAGCAACTGTTTATCCTGCATGGCCTTGTCCCTGGCCCTCCACTTGGTGACTGGCTTGGGCTAGCCGTCCTGGGGCAGCCTCTCCCAGGTGCTCTTCCAAGGAACTCCCATGCTCCTTGAAGACCTGACCGAGGGACACAGTCATCTTGGGTCTAGGCAACTAAAAGGGCCTTTCTTGTCACCTAAACAGTCCAGCTGCGGCTCACTGGTCTCAGGGCAAAACCCCCAATTCTCACCCCCAGCGGGAGCCGCCAAGCTAGCGCACCAAGCACTCCCTTTCTCTCTCCCCTGCTTACTCATTCTGCCCTCCGCTAGGTTTCTGAGCCTGACCTCCTCCTTCCCCCACTCCTCTCACCTGGAGCACCGCCCCCTGCTGTCACCCCTCCCCTCAGGAGAAGCCTCACCGAGCGCTAGCACCTTCCCTGGTCCCCTACTACACTTTCAGACCTCGAGGTTCCATGCTGCTGGGCCTAGGGCTTGACTCAGGTGCAGCTGTGGTTTGCACCAGGGAAGGTGGGGTGAGGCCGCTGGACCTAGGGGACCATGGCTCTGGTGTCCTGAATCCCTGGCTCTATGGCCCCCGCTTTCCGCACCCACCTTTGGGGGTGCGGTGGATGTAGGCCGTGCTGCCGTCTTCCAGCTGCACGGGCTGGCCCTCCTCGAAGGCCAGGGACTCTGGAAGGAGAGTAATGCTTGCCTTTGGGGCCTCAGGCGCCTGCACCTACCCTCCGGGAGGTTAGAGTGTGTGGTGCCCACCTTTCTGCACGGTCACTTGGTGAATGTATGCAGTGGTCCCGTCCTCCAATTGGATCACCTGCCCTTCAAGCAGCTTCTCTCCTGCAAGGGGGGACGAGGGGGGGGGGGATAAAGAGAGGCAGGGCAGGCCCAGAGGAGAGCTCAGCAAGGTCGTGTTTTCAGCCAGGACCTATCTGAGTCTCTGGGTGCCAGAGTGCTCACCCCTAAGCCAAAGGAGCACTCACTCTGGGAGTCAGTCACCTTGCTCCCTCCTGCCTGGGCCTCGGAGGTCTGGGAGTGAGAACACTGTCCTGAAGGAGCCAGACGATCCCAGTAATCTCCCCTCCTGTAATTCACAGGCAACTAAGTGGGGGTGGGGGTGGGTTGGAGGACAGGGGGACTTCCCCCTTAATGAGAACAAAGGGTGCCCTTTTGGGTATGGACTGCCTTGTGTGGCCCTAAAATTTGGGCTGCAAACCCTACCTCTAGGCTAGATGGGTGGCCTCTGGTATGATAATGAGAAGAGAGTAGGATGTGTTTTGAGTCAATCTCTTGAATGATAAGCGAGATTAACCAAGCCAGGCAACAAGCAAGGGGGGCAGGGAGGGAGTGCGGGGATGCTCAAGCAAATGATGAGAAACACCCAGTACGGCTAACCAGCCAGGACTTCCTCCAGGATTAGCAGAGACCCTTTCTCAAGGCCAGAACCTCCCCCAGGAGCTCCACCCGGCCTAAACTGGGTGAAGAGAAACTTGTTTGTTAAAGGCACCACTTTGCGGCATTTCTGTTATACAAGCACATCAAAACCCATGCTGCTGGGTGGAGCCCTTTGAGTCTTTAGGCGGTGCTGCCCTGCGTACTTTCAACAGGAAGGAAGCCTGCTGGGTAACGGTACTGGGCTTCACACTCCCAGGTCAGCAGTTCCACAGCACCAGCTGCTCCGCGAGAAAGAGGAGGCTTTCTACTCCCGGAAGGAGTTAGTGTCTCAGAAACGCACGGGGGCAGTTCTGCCCCGTCCTCTAGCGTCACCGAGAGTCGGAATGGACATGAGGGCCGTGAGTGTGGCTGAGTCAATAGCACCTTCAACAAACTCAGGAGCCCTGCGCTGTTCCACAAGAGCAGCAGTTCAAATCCACCAGCCGCACCAGAGAGCAGTGAGGGGGCTTTCTACTCCCACACGCGCAGGGGCAGTTCTACTCTGCCCTACGGGGTCGCTGAGAGTTGGCAGCGCCTCGGTGGCAGTCTTTTGTTTTTCCTCTGACCAACTTGGGGACATCAAAAATAATCAATGAATTCCCTGATATACCCTGTAAGAGTCAGCAAAGAGACTCAGGCAGCCCTGCCAACAAGGTAGGACAGCACAGGGTTAAAGCAATCAGGGGCTCTGGAGCCAGGCCCGACCTCCTGGGTTTGAATCCTACCTCCACCTCTTATTACTAGTTCTGTGCACCTGGGCAGCTTATTTAACCTCTCTGTGCCTCCGTTTCTTCATCTTAAGATGGGGATTAAGAGTCACAGGGTTGCTGTATGGGTTCAATGAGTTAATGAAATGTAGGACACGCTCAGACCAGCGCCGGGTGTGCAATCAGTAGACTGACTGCACTCGGCACACTGGAGAGGAAAGCAGGAGGCTGTGGTGAGGGGCTAGCCCGTGGCCTCTGTTTCCTTCATTGATCGCTGAAACGTTCCTTTCCTAAGAAAGAAGGACTGGCAGGAACACAACAGGCAATATAATAATTCTAGATTTCCAAAGATAATGCTCTTCATCTCAGGCCCTTGTTGGAAAGCACTTCAAAGAGCGAAGGAAAACAGAGGGAGGGCGCTAAGCCAAGAATCAGAGAGCGCCCTCCCCCCCC